ACCTTCTGCAAGTAATCAGTCCAGGTCTAAACCCTTGTTCTCACGCTCCACTGTCCTTCATGTATCTCCATCCATTAGATTATTGATGAGTGGAGATATTATCACCTCCTCAGCCGCCATTAAATCACCTTTTCCTGGTCTGGTTTAACCAAGATCCAGTTGGTCCATCTGGCCCGGGCTCCTCCAATGGAGGTCAGCAGGTTTGGACCGGCTTATGCACCTAGAGCATCAGTCTTTAGCCTTGTAAATGTCTGACCCCGGGGAATGGAACCTTCTGGGACTCAGCCCTAACCCTGAATCAAATGGTAGATGATCCAAACTGCAGCAGACAGAACCACCTTATGGGTCAGAACATGGTTGACTCTCATCAGCAGGGGGTTAGAAACCTGAACACGCACCGGCTTTAGATCTGACGCCATGTGAGGCTGAAAACACACCGCAGGCATGATTCACAGTCAGCATCACGAGAAAGGCGATCCAGCACGTTTATATCCAGACTCAGAGTCCAGATTTACTGCCGACACTTTTACAGGATGATGTCACGCTTCGCACCGACCTCCTCCTGATGAAACCTTAAGCTTAAGGTCTGAAAGCTTTGCAGGGGAGCAAAGGGAAACCTGAATGAAAATGTGCAGGAGACGATAGCTGAACCATCATGTTACACCCGTCAGACACAGACACAGCCCTCTGCTCAGCATAGATCCTTAGCAGAACCTGGGATACTTCAGAATCATCAAACACTCCTGATCAAACTACGTTTTAGTGAACTTCCAGCAGTGGTTAGTGCGCAACCAATGTAAGGAGGCCTTATGCTACATTCAGATTGCACACCATAGAAGCAGCAAAAAAGCTCCTGCTGCTTCACCTTTGATCCGCATTAAGGCCAGACGTCCAGGAAAGTCTGTCCAAATGCATCTGATGCGTCTGCTGCTCCTGCATTCAATGCCAGAGAGCAGCTTTGCTATATTTGCTGTGATCAGCGGATAAAATGTAGTGTTGTGTCGATGATAAAAAAGAAAAAGAAATCCTCCTGGTGCAGAAGTTCTTGTGCAGCACATTAGCCAATTTCCCTGCTGTGAAAAGACATCTCAATCAGAGGAGTTCCCCAGGGCTCCATCCTGCAAATGTGCAAAGTTAGAGAATTTGGGCATCATGAATTTACGCCTCTCTGCCTCATCAAAAATGGCGGGACCCCTTGAGTCATTTTAACACTCAAACACATTTTTTATTTGGCACAGTAGCCTGATCACTAAACATTGCAATGTTTCCACCTGCTGCTCTGTTCGTCACATCCAACAATAAATCATGGATAACAAAGTTTGCCAAAGTCAATGAGCATTTAGCCAAAGTGTGGATCAAGGGTCCAAAAGGGGTGGGGCAAAGGTCCACCCTGGAGAATAGCGACAAACTAGATGTTTGAACCCATTAATTCGGTTCATGGTCTCAGGCAGGCATGTCCAAAGACGAATCAGCTGATTCTGATGAATGCAGTTAATCCACCATCAGTTTGGACATGCCGGGTCCTACTGGGTCACAGGCCTCTGATCCACAAGCAGGAAAACTTTAAAGCAACACTGTGTGACTTCCAGCCACTAGAGGCGCTACATCTGTAATGTCCAGGTTTAGCTCCCCCTGCAGGCCACTGGCAGCACTGCTCCGTCTCTCAATGAACCGGTCTGAGTTCTGGTTCTGGTTTCAGACCATTTTGGACCAGCAGGACTAGAATCCTGGAGTTCCTGATAAAGACGAGGAAATAATCGTCCTCTGGAGGAAATCCTGCATCAGAGAACCAGAAAAACATCTGATCAGCTTAGGGTCAGATCCACTTTGGTTGCTTAGCAACGTTTTGAGCTAAGTCAGCTTTTAGTGAGTTCTTTAGAGCAGGATGCCGAGTGCTGAATATTGACTTGAAATGTATATAATATTTCAAACTAATGCCTGAGGTAAAACTTATGCAGCATTACTTTAAGTCCTACAGAGACTAACGGCTCCATACTGCCCCCTACTGGAGCTTCTCCCAGTTTCACATCTTGGATAAAGACAGAGAAGAAGATTTCATTAAACATGTTGAGATGTGAATCATTTCCACAGACTGCCAACCTACAGCGGAGCGGAGAGCAGCAATCCCTGCTGCATGTTTTCATCTAACACACCGAACCAATCAGAACGCTCAGATTTCCCTCCAGCTGCTCAGAAACACAAAACAACCTGGTCAACGTCTGACCAACACATTATTTCTGTGAGTCGGTTTTTAGTTTAAAACCTGTCTACAAAGCTCCGCCCACTTCAATCAACCAGCCTGACTGGCACGAGTCGTGACCTCAGGTCATAAAAACACGTTTCTAGGGTTTAAAGGCATCGCCAGGTGCTAAGGGACGATACGGAGGAAACATGGCTGATCAGGGTGGAAGACAGACATGCGAATCTTGGAGTGATATCAAAGGACTCTTTTAGATTACCGTAAATCCTCTAATATTGTATTCCATTAGCGGACGGGTCTCTAATAATGGCCTGCCTCACTGGCGGCGGAGGTAAATAATGGCCGGACTCGTATACAGGCCGGGGCTATGATTGGAACCAACCATGTTCCTGGGCAGTCCTCAACAGCCTGTGATAGTAACATACAACTACCACAGGGGGGCAATGTTTGCTAACGAATCCAAGCTGTTAGCATGGGAAGTCACATTCTTAGCACAGACAGTGCGGCAGACAGGAGACCGACTTATTTTGTTTTTATGACCAAAATTGCGGAAAACGACTCGTGAAGTTTGACCCGCTAGAAGATCGACGTGCGCGAGAACGCTGGGACCCTTTTTCCACCTGGATACCCGCTCATTTTCGCCGTCATGTCCCTCCGTTGTAGGATTAAACTCACCCCCACTTCCTTCCTAGCGCAGACCATGCTTCAATATTAAGCATAAATCAAAAATGTCTGCATCAAGCTCACTGCGACACACTGCTGTAAGAGTATAACCAGCCACACATTCGTTCTGATCTGAAAGACACATGTGATCACCTGATACTGGTAGCCTACTTCCACTTAGCCCGCCTCACATAGAACTTCACTGTGATGGCAGAGCAGTTTCCATTCATTTCTTTTTCTTTACTTTGTTTCGCAAGTCGGTTTGGCAAAGATTCCATTCTGTGTCTTTTTTTTTTCATATTGCCGTGCAGAAAAATTGCAGCTGCTGGAAGATGTCTGAACAATGTTCTGTATATCGCTATGGTAACTGTACTTTTTCAATAAATAAACCTAGCATTTTATAGGTTCAAAGAGACAAAATCTGTTTTTTATTCACTCCACTGTTGGTCTGTTTTGATCAAATAGAAATAGAGGCCTGCCTCTAATTCTGGCCTCCTTCCAATAATGGCCTGGACCAAGATGCACCTGAGTGACATAAAGGCCACAGCCTATATTAGAGGATATACGGTACTAATATTTCAGCATTTAAAGCGCCCCCTGTGGGTGCAGTACCGTGGAGAGAGACGCTCCACAGCTTTAAACTGACAGAATTACAGCAGCAGCAACACAAGAAAACCAGAGCCACAAGAACCTGAAGGAGGAGAACCTGAAAAAGAACCTGAAGAAGGAAACGTTGAACGAGGAGAACCTGAAAGACCTGAAGGAGAACCTGAAGGAGGAGAACCTGAAAAAGAAACTGAAGGAGGAAAAGTAGAAGGAGGAGAACCTGAAAGACCTGAAGGAGAACCTGAAAAAGAAACTGAAGGAGGAAAACTAGAAGGAGAAGAACCTGAAAGACCTGAAGGAGAACCTGAAGGAGGAGAACCTCAAGGAGAAGAAACTGAAAAAGAAACTGAAGGAGGAGAAGCTGAAGAAGAAGCTGAAGTAGAGGAAAGTCTTCTTACCTTTAGCCAAACTCTCCTTCCTGCTGCTGTGAAAACCTCCTGAATCTGCAGCTGTCAGCCAGTGTGTGCTCCCTGTTCAATGCCCACACACCAACACACACCAACACACCAACACACACCAACACACCAACACACACCAACACACCAACACACCAACACACCAACACACACCAACACACACCAACACACGCTGCTCCTCTGCAGGTTGTCTCCAAGCGTTTGCTTTAATCTGAAGCTGCAGCAAACAACCAGGAGACGACCCCCCCCCCACTGAGGAAGTGTGTGTGGGCGGAGTCAGACTCCCAGAGCGCGTGTGGTGTAAATCAGAGGATGTTGAGTCCACTCTCTGGTGAAATAAGGTGTTGATTGAACTCATAAACACTTTATTTTCTTTTCACACGTTCAGAAACTCGTCCTGCAGCCGAGTCCGTCTGAAAGCGCCTCTTTGTGGTGAACGCAGAACACCCAGCAGACGTCCCAACACTCTGAGGAGGAGCAGAGGAGCAGAAGGAGGAGGATCCATCTGATGGCGTCTCCAGAACTGAGCAGGATTCAGACCAGGAGCTGCCTGATGTCCCAGCAGGTTCAGACTCGCCCCGCTGGAACGAAGCGGAGCCTCTAAATGTTTTTCAAAGTTTAGAGACAATTACTCCTGACAGACGACCCGCTCCGTAACAGATCCCTGCTCACTGATAGGCTGTGGATCCAGACGCAGAGAACGATCCCAGAAGTCCTTTGTTATCAGCAGAACATGAGCTTAATCGCTCTGAGATCATAAACATGTTGGGATCGGCTGTAGAACGCCTTTCTTCTGTTTTCAATGGGAACACGATGGTCTAGAAGTCTCCCTGAGGTCCACTAAAGCTCCTCTGGTCCACAGGAACAGACCTGGAGCTCCTCAGGACTGACCAATCACCATGACTACCACATTAGGGACGGCTCCTGGTCTGCTCACTGGGAGAGGAACCGTCTTCTGTTTAATGATTAGCAGAAAGGACCCGACCTCCTGAACGCCATGTCAACCAAAAACAGCTTGTGGGATAACGATAAGATTCCCTGAGTTCTCCAGAACCGTCTGAGAGGCTAAAGTCCAGGACCTGGTCCTGAATCCCAGGTTCTCCTAGATCATCCAGGAGCCGTTAGATCACATCGGTTCTGGTGATAAAGGCCTGATGGACGGTCGATGCGTGGACTGTAGCTCCACGCCGCTGACTCATACCTGAGGTATCTTCACCTTCAAGTCAGGGCTGCAGCGTCTCCATAGAAACCACCTACCTGTCCCAGTCATGCGGAGCCAGGCATCTCCACCTGAGCGGTTCCTTTCCTCAGCTCCTGGTCGGTCCTCTGCTCCCCGCCGTAACCGGACCTCTCAGTGACGCCGCTCCGGGTCCAAATGTGATGGCAGGGGAGCGTGGGTTTGGTGGAGGGTGGTTGTGGGTATCGTTGAGGCGTTGAGGACTTGATGAGGGTCTAACCTGCTAAATGAAATGTAGCGGGAGCAGCTGGGGGATTCCTCTCTGCTCTGGACCCACAGCGTCTCAGACCACCTGGCTTACAGTGCAGCTCTGTTTATCCAGGCAGAAGAATGGGAGGGGGGGGGGGTAGCCTTGACCCCTTCCTCACCACAGCAGCTGAGACACTGCCCCCCCCTCCCTCCATTCCTGGGCTCTTCATGTCCCCGCTCCTCTGAGGCCCTGCCAAGTTTAAACTGGAGAATCTGGCCTCACATATTTCCTCCATTACCGCCTTTGTCTCTTTATGTCCTTCATTACCTCCTTGCTGGCTCTTGTTTCCTTTCCTTGGCCCACGCTTCCTGCCTTGTTAGAGTGTCCTCTGTGTTTCTGACTCAGTGGCTCCTCTTCACCAACATGCATTTGGTCAAAGATGTTAAATATAAATTTACAGTAGAGATTAACTGTGAAAGTAACACAATGAAAACAGGGACTAAAGACATAAAGACTCAGATAACAGGAGAGGATGGAGAGAGACACTGAAGTTAAGGAGGCGGTTAGAGGGAAACCCACTGCTGCAGCAGGCAGTCAGCAGCCAGACCGTCCGAATGAACAGCATGAATCATTTGAAATGTTTCAGACTGAGAAGTTGAGGGACTGAAAGGATTCAGGAAGGTTGATCTCACCTGCTGACAGACCACCAACCCCTGAAGAAGAAAAACTGAAGATGACTCATTAACGACGTTTTAGAAGAAAAGGAAGCTGCTCTGATGTGTCAACAATGCTGTTTCTATTTCATCATTCCTTCATTCTAATTCAGGGCAACAGTGGCGTTGGATATAGAAGTTTTCCCTGAAAATTGAACGGTTGACGGTTCAAGTCCAGGCTCCGGCTTTCGGTGTCGTTGTGTCTTTGAGCAAAACACTTCACCCTCACTGCCTACTGATGGGGGTCAGAGGGCCTGGTGGCGCCAGCGTATGGCAGCCTCACCTCTGTCAGTGAGCCCCAGAGCAGCTGTGGCTACAGTGTAGCTCACCTCCATCAGTGAACGAGTGAATGATGAACGAGTGAATGAGTGACTTGAAAAGGCGCTATACAAGTACAGGCCGTTCATCAGCTCATGTTCCCTGCAGCGTTAAGGACAGACTGGAAGGACGTCCATATATGTCTCTAATTTTATACGTTTTCATTTCAGATATTATTATGATAGTTAATATAATAATGATGTTTTTCTCCTATAACAATTACAATTTACAATATTTTTCAATGATAGTGTGTATTTCTTCTAAAGTGTTTGTCTCCATATTCTTTATTGGGTCAGGTATACCATGTATTCACTGTTTCATTAGTTGTGATCTGATGCGTTTTTGCTGAAGTTGCTTTAGAGCTGAATTAATAATGGTTTCAGAATATTCAGAACATTTTTATCTGGTTTAATGCTTTATCCTCCCTTTTATTTGATTGTTGTTTTTCTAGGTTCCTTAAAGTTTCAACTAACTTGTCGTATTCAGCCCTCTTTCTCCTCTTTAAATATGCTGTTCCTGAAATAAATTTCCCTCTCATTATTGCTATTAGTGTCCCACAGTATGCTGGGGTTGTCAGTTATACAATCTTTTATCTCTTACATTTCTATGTTTTAAGGATCTATTTTTTTATCTGAAGTTAATAAAAGACACCTTGAATTTGGCTCCTTTATATTCTATGTTAGCTCTTTGTTTTCAGTCTGACCTGCTGCCGTATTCCTGTCATGCTGATCTTAGCAGGGCTGAAGACTTAAAGTAAGGGGGTTCTGGTATAAGGGGTTCCAGGTGTAAGGAGGTCAAGGTATAAGGGGGTCCAGGTATAAGGGGGTCCAGGTATAAGGGGGTCCTGGTATAAGGGGGTACAGGTATAAGGGGGTCCAGGTATAAGGGGGTCCAGGTATAAGGGGGTCCTGGTATAAGGGGGTACAGGTATAAGGGGGTCCAGGTATAAGGGGGT